TGCCTAAGTCAGCAATTATTAAAGCTACTAGATATGAAGTGAGAGTTAAGCTCGAGTTCGGTTTCAATTACCTTTTGAGGAGGATCCTTGGGGGGTATTTATAGCCTTCAAAGTTGTGTCCACATGTTGTTCTTCACGGACAATTAGGATCATATGTGTCAACGATCACATAAAACTCTTTGAAAGATCTGTGCATGTATGGAGTTACTATAGAACATGAGCGAAGGGGACGGACTTGAACTCAGTTGAACTCGTTGTTCTTTAATTAAGTCAAGGTGACTAGATTGTTGGGAATAACTCCGACTATCAAAGGTTATGTACCTTGAACTACTATGAGGCATGTGACTGATAACCAACGTACCTCTCATACCTCATGACCTCTGATTACCACCACTATAGTTATATACAAGAGTTGTCTCAGTTTTTACCATTTGACTAAATGCATCATTGGTTATACTTACATATATAAAGAAGGCAATCCATGATCTTCTCATTTCATGTTTTTGTGTGTTGTGACTCTCTTTCGCATATTATAAGTAGAGTGAGTAAAATCAAATAAGTTTATATGTAAAGAATCTTGGCCCTATTTTCGATTTATTTGAGTGGGTTGATAAGTTGGGTTAACTTTTGCCCCGTATATATCTTATTGCCAGGACTAACTAAAATGGAATTGCAGATTGTGGGAACAATTGTGTCAGTCCTAGTGTATACCATAACAGCATGGTGGCTGATGGATACAATTCCTCATCTCTGTGACAAATCTGCGTTGCCATCGGATAGCCCATGGACATGCCCCCCTGACAATGTATTCTTCGACGCCTCCGTTATCTGGGGCCTGGTCGGACCACGCCGAATCTTCGGAGACCTCGGCATCTATGCAAAGGTCAACTGGTTCTTCCTCGGCGGAGCCATAGCACCATGTCTCGTCTGGCTGGCACACAAAATGTTCCCTACCCAGGACTGGATCCGCCAAATCCACATACCAGTTCTTCTCGGCGCCACTGCCATGATGCCTCCTGCCACCGCCATAAACTTCACCAGCTGGCTGGTGGTTGCCTTCATTTTTGGGTACGTTGTCTTCAAGTACTATCCGGAATGGTGGAAGCGGTACAATTACGTCCTCTCCGGTGGGCTTGATGCTGGGACGGCGTTCGTCACAGTGCTACTGTATCTTACGCTGCAAAGGAAGAACATCGGAGTGCAATGGTGGGGAAATGAAGGAGAAGGCTGCCCCTTGGCTGCTTGTCCGACCGCAAAAGGGGTTATTGCTGATGGCTGCCCAGTCTCTTGATTGAAATTATCTTTTCACTTTCTTCGTTTTGAATAATGATAGACGGTACGAATTGTGTGCTATAAAAATTTGATAAAAATGACATGTATAATTTATTATATTTAAGATATTAAAAGATGCATGGTATATTATTTAATAATTAATTATTTTTACTTTATGTGGTG